AATACTCATATGTTTTATGTTCCCATGTGTGTGACCACCACTCTAAAATATAATCTGATTCCCTTCTTAGCTTTGTCTACTCTTAAGTAGCTTTTACCATTTTCTTCCATTTGCTGTTTACTCCGTACTTACCCTCCCCTCCCCACACACAGTTTTCTAAGTTATTCTCCTCAACTATTAGTCTAAAACCTTGGATGACTGTCAAATATTAGGATACTTCAAAAAGTTCATGAAAATGTAATTAAAAGATACGTTTGAGGCAAGTGTTTGACCTAGTAGTTAGGACACTTGTTAGGATGACGGCTTTCCAGATCAGAATGCCTGGGTTTGATTCCCACCTCTGACTCCTGTCTCTAGGTTCCTGCTAATGTAAATCCTAAGAGGCGGTAGTGACCTGTCTAGTAAATGGGTTCCTGCCACTCACTTGGGAGACTTTCAGATCTAGACTCCCTGTTACAACCATGTCTAACCCTCCATGTTACCCTGGGCATTTGGAGAGTGAACCAGGGAGTAAGAGCTCCCGCTCCATATCTAACTCTCAAAGAACAAATAATGAAAGATAAGTTTATTTTGGTACAAAAACCTTTTTGAAGCTGATGCATGGTGTTTTCATAATACTCATTTTTTCCATGAACTTTTAAAGAAGTCCTTTGCATGCATAGATTCCCCCAAAATTTAAATAAAAAATAAAATGTTTAATTTTAAAAAATTCATTCGAAAGATACAGTCACAGGGAGAGGAGGAGGAGAAACCTAGAGAGAGAGATCTTCTACCTATTGTTTTACTCCCCAAATGACCATAATGGATGGAGCTGTGCTAGTTTAAAACCAGGATCCAGGAGCTTCATCCAGGTCTCCCACATGGGTGCAGGGGCCCAGGGTCCTGGGATATCACCTGCTGGTTTCCCAGGTACATTAGCAGGGAGCTGGATCAGAAGTGGAGCAACTGTGACTGATACCGGCACTCATATGGGATGTCAGTGCTGCAGGTGTAAGCTTAAGCTGTTGTGCCACAGCACTAGCCTCATGTTTTATGGTTGAAGTGTATACATGTTTCCTTGCAGTGATGTGTTAATTCATACAATTAAAAAGAAGGCAGGGGGAAGTGATCAGCTTTAAGTTTAAACAGGTTTTAGTTTTAAATAGTCCCAATGAAAGAATGTTTTGTCTTAACTCATTGTATAGCTCAAAGCTGCCACCTTCTCCTTATTTTGTTTCTGTATTGCAAAAAAAAAAAAAAAAATCTAATTCTGGTGTCATTATGCAGTATCCACTTGATTTTCACATTACTTTCACGAGGACTGACAAATACTCTGCCACCACTTCCTGTGCTCTTATTTTTGGCAGACATAGCTAATCTATTATAGTATCTTTCCTACCGGTTAGATTCTTAACACCAAATGCTGTTTTCTAATCACCCAATTTGGCAAGTGAGATGAAATCTATTTGCCAACTTAGTTCATCTGGAGTTCTCAGTTTTATATTACACTGCTTCCCAGTGCAAGAAATGCACAGATGATATTGATGGAATGCTCTTGGTAATTTGATTAGGTTATGATTAGAAGGTTTATGTCCTGCAACATTACCTTCTACTTGCTTATCCTTCTAAATTAATCTGCTTCCTTGACTCTCCTTTTCTATTCAGGTATCACGTTAAAAATTACTTTGTCTTAGGAGTATTTGACTTTTTTCTCTTAAAAGCTCAAGATACAGGGCCTGGTGTAATAACCTAATGACTAAATCCTCACCTTGCATCTGCTGAGATCCCATAGGAGTGCTGGTTCATATCCCGGCTGTTCCACTTCCCATCCAGCTCCCTTCTTTTGCCCTTGGAAAGCAGTAGAGGATAACCTAAGCCTTGGGACCCTGCACCCACCCACATGAGAGATCTGGAAGAAGCTCCTGGCTCCTGGTTCGAATCTGCTCAGTTCTGGCCGTTGTGGCCATTTGGGGGCCATATGGGATCCCAACACATTCAAGATGAGAACTTTAGCTAGTAGGTATCGCACTGGGCCCAAACATAATCTTTTTAAAAAAATCTCAACATACATTGTTGTGGATGAGTTGAAATCAAGAAAACTGATCCAAAATCCGTGGACATCTTAGACTGCATTAACATGTCTTATGTTTACAAAGAAGAAGCTGATAGTCCTGATCAAATTTGCACCTGTAAGACCACACACAGAATATTGTATTTGATATAAGACACTGCATATTTTATCAGAAACTCATATCTAGTTTTAATCACAAACAGATTAAGAAGCAATACATGTTTATCCTTGGAAAGCGATGCCCCAAAGGATGGCAGTTACTTTCTTTACGAATTCTTTGGCCTGTTACATGGAGGACAGTTGTATATCAATCCAAAGGTTACAAGTAAGGACAATGGCTAGGACGTTGTAATTCAGTGAAATGTTACTTGAAAAAGACCACTCGAATCACATAAATATGATAGATTCATGTACCATGGACCTTCTGAAGAGGTTGACAAATGTATATTAAGGATCCTAAAAGAATAATGCAGTAAAAGACCTCTTTAAATTTGTTCATTCCAGTTTTCTCTAAAAATGCCTTCCTCAGAACTGGTTTTCTAATGAACTTGTGTTAGTGATCCTCGAAACTGTGGTATTGGGACAGGGAGTGTCAGAATTGTCTGGAAACTGATTGTAAACATGAATTTCTTGGCCCTGTGTCAGTCCTGTGGAATCAGAAACCTTGGAAGGGAGGCAGCAGCTTCTGTAATAAGCCATCTTGGGCATTGCAATGCTGCTGAATTATGAAAAGCACTGCTAGAAAATCCCACTATTATTCTCCAACTAAACAGCACCCACCTGGCTTCCTATAAAACATTTACTTTATTTTTTATATTTTGAAGATTCATTTATTTGAAAGACCGTTACAATCCACTGATTGACTCCCTAAATGGCTGCAGGGGTCAGGGTTGGGCCAGGTTGAAGCCAGGAGCCTGGAGCTTCATCAGGGTCTCCCGCGTAAGTGGCAGGAACCTAAGAGGTTAGGCCATCTTCTGCTAATTTTCCAGGCTCGTTAAGAACAGAGCTGGGTCAGAAGTGGAGCACTGGGACTTGAATTGGTGCGCACATGGAATCCTAGCAATGCAGACAATGGCTTATACTGCTATGCTGCAACATGGGTTGCATGATTTTTATGTTTTAAGGTTTCTTCTAATAATATCCTATGACTATGTTTCATTTCATAAAGGGGTCCCTTATGAAATAGAGAGAAAGAATAATTTTCACCCTACTGTAGGTGCCATCTGGCTGGGATCAATTGGATACATTAAAGAATCCTAAATAATGAATCTGTATTATATAAACTGAAACACACATTTCAATAATGAGACAAAAACTTACTCATCTATATAAACATTTTAAAATAATATTTATTGTTTATCATTTACTTCAAGGTGTTCTGTGAAAAAATGTATTTTTTTCTGACCTGTTGAGAAATTAGCCATATAACGTTTCTCAGGTTAGAAATGTAAAACATTGGGGACCAGTGTTTTAGCATAGGGAGTAAAATCGCCCCCTGTGATACTGGCATCTCATATAGGCACCAGTTCAAGTCCCAGTTGCTCTGCTTTTGATACAGCTCCCTGCAAATGAGCTTTGTAAAGTGGAGGATGCCACAGTGCTTGAGTCTGTGTACCCGCATGGAAGACCCAGAGAAAGCTCATGGGTTCTGGCTTTGGCCTGGCCCAGCCCTCACTGTGTGGACATTTGGGGAGTGAACCAGCAGATGGAAAATCTGTGTTCTCTCCCCCTCTTTGTAACTCCTCCTTTCTAACAAATACTAAAAAGTAAATGCATAACATTTAAAAATCTTCATTCATTTTACTTTAGTGGAGAATAAATTCTGATGGTATTAAATTTATGGCTCTAAAACAAAGATTTATTTTTTTTTTATTGGAAAGTTAGATATACAGAGAGCAGAAGAAACAGAGAAGGATCTTCCATCCACTGATTCATTCCCCAAGTGGCCGCAACAGCAGTAGCTGCACCGATTCAAAGCCAGGAGCCCGGAGCCTCTTCTTGGTCTCCCACGCAGATGCAGGGCCTCAAGGCTTTGGGTTATCCTGAACTGCCTTCCCAGGTCACAAGCAGGGAGCTGGATGGGAAGCAGGGCAGTGGAGACACAAACCAGCGCCCATATGGGATTCCAGTGCATGCAAGGCGAGGACTTTAACCACTAGGCTATTGTGCTGGGTCCTAAAAAAGATACTTTGAAAAGAACATAATAAATTTGAACTTTTAAATGTAATTGCATATAAAAAGAAAAATCCCCAATGTATACTCTTGGCTACCGTCTTATTTCTTTTATTGGATTGAAAAATTGCATTTTGAATGTTTATATTTGCACATCTCTATAAATCATGAAAAATAATTTTTAACTTTCTGAAGGACTATGAAATGTCACACTATATTTAACTGTATTTAGGACAGAAATTCTATTAATATTGCCTTGAAATGAATTATGGCCAAATTCAAAATCTTATTTTCTTACCTCTGTTTCTTACAAGTAAGTGTTCTCTGGTTTTATGTTATTAGGTCAGTCGAGGTTTTACTTATTTTTAGTTCCGTGGACTAATAGTCTACAGGTTGCATTTTGATTTGTTTGCTGCTTTCCAAAAGCAGAATGCCTTGGGGTATCTGCTTACACTAATGAATGTTAACTAGTACTATCATTATCACTATATTTAAACTTCCATGGTCGACAGGAATGTGCTAAAGTCTGAATATGGCATGGTTAATTATGTCACTGTCCCTGCCCAGCGCAACTGCGGCTGAAAGATCATACCCAAATGATGAGGAAGATAGCAGGTGCCAGTCGTTTGGAGTTAAGTGTTATCTTCACCGCTGACTCACTGAGGTCTGTGACGTTAGCCAATGTTTTCTAACAAGCACCTAGGAGCTTTCATTTTATATGTTAATCTCCCAGATTGGGGTTTCGTGGTATTTTGTGCTTACTAGTGTATCTCTTTAGTTTTCCTCACAGGAGAAAAAGCCAATTCAGTATTAAAACGCTATCGAAGAGCTAATAGACTTTTTGAAGAAATAAGACAGGGCAACATTGAGCGTGAGTGCAAAGAAGAAGTCTGCACATTTGAGGAAGCCAGAGAAGCTTTTGAAAATAATGAAAAAACTGTAAGTTTTTAACAGCTGGAATTGTGAAATGTTCCCATGTTTGCCTAGTCTTTTGATGCATATTTGAAACCTGCATTCTCGAAGTGTATGCATTACTATCAGTATCTTTGCAAAAAACAATTCTGAAGGTGTTGTCAAATTGCATTCAGGTTCACTTCTTGTGTACTGCTCTGTCTTGGAAGACCCTACTCCCATAGGATTCTGCTGAAATAAGATTTAGTTTGCATGGGGCCCAACACAGTAGCCTAGCGGCTAAAGTCCTCACTTTGTATGCAGTGTCGGGATCCCATATGCTCACTGGTTCTAGTCCTGGCTGCCCCACTTGCCATCCAGCTCCCTGCTTGTGACCTGGGAAAGCAGTCAAGGACGGCCCAAAGCCTTGAGACCTTGCATGCACATGGGAGACCCAGAAGAGGCTCCGGACTCCTGGCTTTGGATCGGCGCAACTCTAGCTGTTGTGGTCACTTCAGGAGTGAATCAGCAGATGGAAGATCTTCCTCTCTGTGTCCACTCCTTTCTGTATATGTGACTTTGCAATAAAGAAATAATAAAAACTTTTAAAAAAAAGGTTTAGTTTGCACAAGGCAATGTTCTGGAAAGTTGATAATAAAGTTCATTGCCTTACTCATGATATGTAGCAAAACAGTATTGAAATGAACATTTACAGTCTTTTTTTCCCTTTATTTTTAACAATCTTTACATAGTTGATAGGGCACAAAGGGTCAAGGGCTACAGGAAAGTGGGTAAGACTATTGTTTCCACATTATTGCTTTTTATTTTTTTTTTCTGTTTCTGGGATAAAGGGGAAGATAAAGGGAGAAGCCCCACCCAGCCTCCCACCCATCCCAGGTCCCCGATGTGGGGCATGCTCCAAAGGTCCTGCTCAAGTGGTTTTGATAGTTCAACAGTTCTGAATTGCTGCCAATATCGCCATTCCAAGCATGATGAAGTCGCTGCAGAATCCACTGATTGACATAGTCCACTTACAGTCTCCGTTTGCCCAGTTTTTCACTGCCAATGTATGGCTGGGACAGTTGATTGATTTGTTCTGTCCTCTGTTGTGGTGCCAGGTGTCCTCTGCAGGTTCCGACGGACTGCCATATCCTCCATGTGCAATGCTGAAATGGACACTTACAATCTTAAGTGCTTACAAGCAATCCATCTCTTATGGATGATCAATTAATGAATCACAAGAACTTATTAGGAGAGATACAAATAGCCAGGAAGTGTGACAATAAAAGATTTGCTGCAAAAAAATTAGATTTGGCACTACAAAACTGCATATTGAAATAAGAAAGAGCCTTCCATAAGAAGATGAGCAAAATAACTCCCAGCCAGATTAGCACTGAGATTTTTGATGTAAGTTGTCATATATTAGAGCAAACATGTGGTAAGCTAACCTTTTGGGATTGGCTCATTTCCCTTAGCATATGGGTCTCCAATTTGGTCTATTTGGCTGCAAGCGATTGTGTTTCATTCTTTTAATAGCTGAGTAGTACTGTTTTGCTACATATCATGAGTAATAAAGTTCTAGTTTTTAATTTTTTTATGAGAAAGTAATTCTCTGAATGGAAAATGCAAATGACAATAACAAACATGATAAGTTGCTTAATAGCATTATAAATGTATACTAAGGCATCAAGAAACCATTTACTACCCACAAGAATGCCCCAATTTTCTAAGTTGGTTAATATCATATGGTGTGGAGAACAATGGAGAAAGCAGTTCACAAACAGATGGAAGTGGAAACTGGCACAGCCACTCTGGAAGGCAACTTTGCTGAATCTATTAAAATTTACACTCCTCCAGGACCCACTAATTCCACTTATCAGTGTCCACCCTGGAGTAATGCTTACACATACACACAAAGAAGCTGTCACTAGGACATTGTTCATTACTGGAAATTGAAAACAATTTAAATGTACTTCCTTCAGCACCACAAGTCACGCACTAGCATTTATTCCTACAAGAAGATTTTTGATTCTTGTTTTCACCACCCTTGTAATGCATTTTTATTTTTATAGCATGTTTGCTAACTTCATGTTGATGAAACTTTATTATTTTCACCCTCTTGTGGACTATACGCACTGGTTCTGTATTTTAGAGGATATATAATGGAAGTGTAGCTGGGACTGATATGTTCAGATATGGAGACAAAGTGCTGTGTGTCTCTATGAATACAAACCAAAGATGGACTCCCAGTGAAAGAATTGAATACATCCTAATAGTAAGATGATGGATTCTCTCACAGTGTCCGTGCTTACATTGTAGGAGACACTTCAATAACAGTATGATGGACTTGTGACTGTTCATGAAGGACATCCATTGTTAAACCAGAGGGGAAATCAGTGGGCTTGGGGAGGGACTTTGGGGAAGGGCACAGGCAACCCCAGAACCTATGGAACTATGTCATAGAGCAAAATAAAATATGTTTTTAGAAGTTCATTGCCTTACCATGTCTAATTGCAGTGAAAGGGTGGAAGAAGCTAGTGAATGTTGATGCTGTTTTTCCAGGTTCTAATTCTCATATAGAAAAAAAAATGTAGCCGTACTTCTCTCTCCATTCCAAGATTATCCTTCTACACACGTTGTTTAAGAAGAGCAGGGTTGGGAAAGCACAAGGCAGGATGGGGATTTGTGGGGGTCGGGGGGTGGTCAGTTCTTAAGTGCCTCCATGGCTGGAATTTGCATCACCCTTAGCAACAGTTGTGTGAAGATCCTTCTAGTGCATCATACAAACAACAGTAGATATTAATCTTATGCCGTTAGATGTGCTTATTTTTCATGATGTCAAAAAGGGCCCAGGGATAGAGGAAGAAGCTCAAGGAAAGAGGCTCACAGGCTCATGATGGCTAGATTCTGGCATGCACAACCATGGAACAGACATTTTATAAATCGGTAAACTGTGAGCTTAATTGTTATAAAATACTTCTAAATCACTTGGCCAAAAACAGGGAAAACAATATGTAATTCATAATCTGGTAATGCAGCACAAAGCACTGTTGGCCTTTTATTTCCATCTTTTTTCTTCGGTCTGTGCATAGTCCTTGTAGATTTTACTTGTAGATTTTACAAACAATGAATAACATTTTTTGGTCTAATGCCATGTGGGCTTAATTTTTCAGAATTTTTATTAGAATAAAGAGAAAAGACTTAATGCATTTCATAGATAGGATACTAAAATATGACACTTTGCTCCCTGCTTCCTTCTTCCTTCCTTTGTCTATTATAATTTGTGTTATACTTTCAATTTACTTTATAGTTACAGGCTTAATGCCCCTCTGAATAAAGGATTCCACAAGAAGTAGAAGGACCACTGATCTACAGGAATATAGACAAGGATCATTAACTATATAACCAAATAACAAGATAATCAACCTAGATGTCCATCAAATGATGACTGTGCAAAAAAGAAATGCTGCATATATACACAATGGAATGTTACTCTTATAAAGCAATTCTGTCTTTTGCAATAAAATGGATGCAACTAGAGACCATGATGCTTAATGAAATAACCCAGATTAAAAAAACAAACAAACAAGCAAAAAAAACTACAAATATCATGTTTCTCTGATTGGTGTAAGTTATTATATAGAGTACAAAAAATTAATGTATAAGAGTGAATAGCATTCTTTTTTAAAAAATCACTTTATTGAGGTATAATTGACATAAAAACTGTACATTTATTTAATATAAATACATGTTTTTGTGATTCTGGAGATAATTATTACCTGTGAAACTGTTGTCACTGCTAAGACCATTACACTTCCATCACCTCCAAAAGCTTCTTTGTTCTCTTTTCATCATTATTAATAGCTTGTGTATGTTTGGTGTATGGTCACACACTATCATGTTAGCAAAACTTACATATGCAACATGGTATTGTTAGTGTAGACATTATGCTAGATAATAGTTGTCCAGAATGAGTTTGTCTTGCAAAGCTGTTAACAAAATACTCTTTGACCATTTCTTCTTCGTTTCTCTCCTCACTATTCTGGCAGACACCATTCTCTTCTCTGCTTGTATGAGTTCATATTTTTTTAGATTTCATGGATGAGTGGCATCATGCAGCTTTTGGCTTTCTGTGTCTCACTTATTTCACTTAACATAATTTCATTTAGGCCTATCCATGTTGTCATAAATGATTAGATTTCCTTTCTCCCTAAGGGCAAATTATATTCCATTGCATATTTTACACAATATTTTTATATAGTCACCTGCATTGGCCATTTCATTACTTTTGGTTGGAAATTACATTTATAAAGCAAAATCTGTTAGGAAATAAGAAATTCAAAATTGAATCTCTTCGTCTTGCTGCTTACAGATTACTTGAAATATGTTAGTAGCACTTTGCTTGAATGATATTTGTTTTTAGCCTCAGCAGTGTTGTTCAGCTTTGTGAGGAACCTTATCAAACACAATGACTAATAATATTAGCAACAAGACAGATTCTCTTTGACCTCCCACATGTTGTTTGGTGTGGGGAGCGGGGTACTGAAGCCGCTCAGGGATTAAGAGGGGCCGTTGCAAGATGGCGGCTGGCCCAGGGCCAGGAGGCGGGGTTGGTCTCACCAGCAGGTAAACAGGAAGTCACAGGGATAGGCTAATGCCTCTGCTGCGATTATGTCATTGCTACTGGCCTATCAGATAGTGCCAAGTGGACCCATGGGGAGAAGTGATTGGTGGAGAACGATATAAAAGTAGCCGGTAAAAGCTAAAAGGACGATGGATGGACAATGACGGAAGGATGGGACGGATGGATGGACAGACAGACGGCAATGACGAGAAAGACTGGGGGGCAATGAGGAGAAAGAATGGGGAAAGAACGACGGATGGAATGGGAAGAATGGGGCAGCAGAGAGGGGAAGAAGGGTTTAGATCTTTGGGCGGAAAAGTTAAGGCATATGGGGAGGAAGAGCGGCAGAGAGGGATACAGAAGCGGTACAGGAACAGTAGAAGCAGTACACAGAAAACGGGGACAAGAACAAAGAAGGGTGGTG